CTTTCCAAGTACTCCTATTCAAACAAGATCTCTAGATATATTCCAAGCTTTCAAATCTCTTTTTATTGTCTCCCCCATGTCAATTTCGGTCTTACTCTACCTCTCCTAATATTATTAGCTTGGCTTAGGACACCACAATGCACTGGTGCCTCTGGAGATCTTCTTTGGACATGGTCAAACAACCTCAACCGATGTTGAACAAGCTTTTCTTCAATTGATGCTACCCCTAGGCGATCATGTATATCATCGTTCCGAACTTGGTCCATTCTTGTGTAACCACAAATCCATCGCAACATACACATTTATGCAACACTCAGTTGTTGAACATGTTGAATCTTTGTAGGCCAACATTCTGCTCCATACAATATAGCTGGTCTAATCGCCGTTCTATAAAATTACCTTTTAGCTTTTATGGTACCCTCTTGCCACAGAGAATGCTAGAAACTTGTCGCCACTTAATCCACTCTGCTTTGATTCTATGGCTAACGTCCGCATCAATATCTCCATCCCTCTATAGCATCGATCCCAGATACCGAAATGTATCCTTCTTAAGCACTACCTGACCTTCCAAACTCACATCTCCCTCCTCCTGTGCAGCTCCGCCAAAGTCACATCTCATGTATTCGGTTTTAGTTCTACTCAATCTAAAACCTTTAGACTCAAGGGTCTGCCGCCATAACTCAAGTTTCCTATTTACTCCAGCCTGGCTTTCGTCCACTAACACTACGTCATCAGCGAACAACATACACCAAGGGATATCCCCTTATATGTTCCTGGTAGTCACATCCATTACCAACGCAAAGAGATACGGGCTTAAAGCTGACCCTCGATGAAGTCCAATTTTAATCGGGAAGTAATCTGTGTTACCATCATTTGTTCAAACACTAGTCACAACATTGTTGTACATGTCCTTGATAAGGATCACGTACTTTGATAAAACTTTATATTTGTCCAAAGACCACCACATAACATTTCTTGGTATCTTATCATAAGCCTTCTCCAAGTCAATGAAAACCAAGTGGTCCTTCTTCTTCTATCTAAACCGCTCCATAACCTGTCTTATTAAGAAGATTGCTTCTGTGGTCGACCTTCCGGGCATGAAACCAAATTGGTTTGTTGATATCTGCGTCGTTCCTCGCAGGCGCTGTTCGATGACTCTCTCCCATAACTTCATAGTGTGGCTTATCAACTTAATTCTCCGATAATTAGTACAACTTTGGATATCTATCTTGTTCTTGTAGATTGGTACCACTATGATTCTTCTCCACTCCTCAGGTATCTTGTTCGATCAAAAAATATTGAACATCTTGGTTAGCCATACTATAGCTATATCCCCGAGACATCTCAACACCTTGATTGGGATACCATCAGGACCCATCACTTTGCCCCCTTTCATCCTTTTCAAGGCTTCTCTGACCTCCGATTCTTGAATCCTCCGCACAAAGCGCCTGTTAGTGTCATCAAACGAGTCATCCAACCGAACGGTGGTGTTCTCGTTCTCACCATTGAACAATTTATCAAAATACTCTTGTCATCAATGTCTGATCTCATCCTCCTTCACCAAGAGCTACTCCCTCTCATCCTTTATGCACTTGACTTAGTTGAAGTCCCTTGTCTTCCTATCGCGAGACCTAGCCATCCTATAAATATCTTCTCTCCTTCCTTCGTACTCAAAGTCGGTAAAGGTCCTCATAGGCCCGCCCCTTTGCCTCACTCACCGCTCGTTTTGCAGTCTTCTTTGCCACCTTATACTTCTCTATGTTATTTGCACACCTGTCATGATACAAGCGCTTATAGCCTCACTCCTTTTCCTTAATAGCCTTTTGTACATCTTCATTCCACCACCAAGTGTCTTTCGAGTCACATCCGCTCCATTTGGTCACTCCAAGCACCTCTGAAGCAACCTTCCAAACGCATGTTGCCATCTTCTCCCACATGCTGTTTGCATCGCCTTCATCATTCCAAGGGCCCTCTTCAACCATTTCAAATTTTTCATAGGCCTCCCATGAGCCAAACATGCAAGTTTTCCTTCCACCTTTCTACCATTGATCAATTCCTCCCCAAAAAAACATGCAGCCGAAACCAAATAAACACCAGAGTATCACTTCTACAGCCCAATACTACTTTCCAAAGGGGATAGAGATGTCAGACTTGTAATGATAACTGAAGTCTCTATTTCTGAAACATTTAAGCATATGTCAAGTTATCAAGGAGAAGTAGAAGGAATATGGAACAACGCTGCATATAATAGAGGATCTTTCAAAGAACAATCATATATAGGAAAAATGTACGTCCCAAACCAGGTAAAGTTCTTTGCAATTAATAAAACCATCAAGCATAAGAAATATTGCTTTATGTAACATATGCTTGAATTAGAAAAATTCAAATACAGTTTATGATTGCAATACAAGTATAGATGATGAGGGAGGATATACACTGAACTTCTATTGGAGTAGAGCAAGAACTAGAAGAAATTATGATTGACAACACAAAGCAACTAGCCAACAGTATATACTCTGATACTCATATTAAAATGACAGCATACAGGATGACAACTGACAGTGGGGAGTGTCATTCCATTGGAGTATGCTGGTAATGTAAATTCACTGATGTTGATCAGTTAACAGTTTCCATAGGAAGTCCAAGCGGCATTCACACGATCACTACTAGGCAATAATATAAATAAATGAGCTAAATTATTTGGGCTTGTACATGGACATCTATATTCACTAAAAAATGAGTTATTCAGATTTCAGAGTCACGAGTCAAATTCTGAACTGGACCAAGATCAGATCAAAGCTAACCATTTTGTCTGTATCAAAGCTAGTAGTCACTCAACACTAATTAAATGAGCAGCAGAAATCAATAGAAAATCAAAGGCATAGACTTATACACAATAGATACCACATACTAGGAGTGAATCAATAACCACATACACATGGCATAAAATTCCCCAGCAAAAATCAGAAAGAAAGAGCCAATGATCCTCGAATTAACATCAAGATCAAAAACCAACGAAATGGGTCAGCTAAGCAATAGGGACACAGATCACCAAATCTTTATAGATAGAAGCACAGCCCATCTGTCCTCGTGTCCCAACTCCTCTAGATTAAGGCAATTTGCACCAGTATGTCAAATCAGGTAGACCCCAAATCTGTATCGACAAACACAACAAGCAGAAAGGAGAAAATAAAAGGAACCACAATGAATATCAAATTCGAAACACCTACGAAAAACATAGGAAGGAAGAGAAGAAAATGGACTAACCTCAGAAGTGCCCGCGCTGCTTCACAACACCTTGCACTAGTGCCTTCTGGAAGCAGATGACAAAATGAGTCGATGCCAACAGGACAGTTAGGGTAGTCTTGTCAGTGAAAAAAGGAAATAAACAAAATCCATGTGGATGGAGCGGCTGGATCAGACAGTTATAAACATCTCACCAGACAGATGTGGTCAAACAGCCAACAAAACCACACGTCGACAATTTGTGAAACAACCAGTAGTTTAGCTTTTCCGAATAATTAACTTGCATATATATACATCAAATCACTGGCTGCTGGCCAATGTATGACCAGCAACAAAAGCATACTAATCTAGCAGTAGAAGCTAGCTAATTAATAACATCATGCACAAAATTACACTAAACAAGGACCCCCAAACATTTCAGCATTGTTGTTACAGGGAACAGGAGAACATGCCAACATCAAGATGTATGCAGATATTCAGACATCAGAACCTGCATATATCGGGTGTACCCAGTGCAGAGAGCTCCCGCTCTGTGCGGGGTCTGAGGAAGGGTGTCAGTGGCAAGCCTTACCCTCGCCTGTGCAATGCGAGGAGACCACGACTCAAACCCGGGACCTTCCGGTCACAGACGGTAAGACTCTACCGCTTGCACCAGGCCCGCCCTTCAACCTACATATATCGGGATATATGAAAAACATTTAGGCATTCTGAACAACGGTTACCTTTAGGCCAGATTTCGCACCACAAATTTTTCAAGTCTCGTCAGTCAATTAAGGAAATGGCCCTACTGTGTAACCTGATAACACTAAAAGTAAAAATCTTTCTCCAGCAAAGCAATATAGTAGTAAATGGGCAACATGGGTAGGACAGACATGATCCAATAATATCTGTTAGAAAGCGAAGTCCCATGCAAAATATACCTAACCGGGTAATTCTTGTCCGTGGAATTCATTTGGAACCAAATGGAGATCAAATGGCTGAAACCCCCCTGGCAGATTGTTTTTTATCTCGCATGCTAACACAACTAAATCTGAGCAATTCATAATTGAAAACAAGCAATGCAATTAGCTAGCGATGGAGCCAAGAAAATGCATCAGCCTGTTCGGGAGGCCGTAAACGATCGTGGATTATTTATTGTTGGCTGGTTTGGTGTGAGAGAAAAATGCTGTTCTGGCTGGAAATTTAAGATCGTTTACGACCAAGCGAACAGGCTGCATGTCGAGGTCAAATGGCAATGACAAAATATTAGCATGCGCATAACACAATATATTGACTTCCGCTGCTAGCATTATTTACATGAAACATTTGTTGGATATAGAGCACTGAAACACATTGACATAGGGGACATCCTCTGTCCCTGAAGTAGCATATAAACAACTTCCATATATACATGAATTGAAGTTGAAGCCACTGATTGCCGGACGCTTATATCACCAGCAACAAAAGCATCCAGTACTACTATACTCTAGCAGTAGTCAGTAGAATTAAGCTAGCTAATTAAACACCATGCACCAGAATAGACTAAACAAGGACCAAAACATTTCCAGACATGAACAGCTGCAGCTTTGAACTAGGCAACAGCTTCCACAACCAGGCGATCTTGTGTCACCTACCTTGCTGAGTTGGTAGCTCCAAAAGATTTCTGCCTGCTGATCGCCGGTCCTAGAAAAAGTGACATACAGTACATGATTTCAGAAATCAAATGCACGTTTGCTTGCAAAATAAACAGGCAAAGGCGGGTTATTTGATACTTACTAATTCTGGTCATCCTGGGGAGGTTGAGGAGCAAGTCGCAGAGGAGGGGTGGAATCAGACAGCAGGTTAGTGTTGGTAAACTCCGAGAGGTCCAGGGCGTCACCATACAAGGTGAGCACGAGCTCCTTCGTGTCTCTGACGCCCTTGTTGTAGAACTCGCCCAACAGTCTGCTGCTCTCTTGTTGCAATTCGATCCGCTCGCGGTGGTGCATGGCAGTGATCTGCCGCACCTTTGCCACGTGATCGGCTTGGGCCTTCTGGAGCTCCTCTGCGGATCGGGTGGCCTCGGCCTTCGCCTTCTGGAGCTCCTCCGCGGATCGGCTCGCCTTGTCGTTCGCCTTCTGGAGCTCATCCACGAGCTGGGCCATGTCGTTCGCATGCCGGGCTTTGGCCCCCGCAAGCTGCTCCTGGAGGAGCACAACCTCGGCTGCATACTCAGTTCTGACCATCTGCAACTCCCCCTTCAGAGCCTGTATCTCCTGCACCTTGCCGTCGAACTCCGCCGTTGCTTCCTGCGCGAAATAATGGAGCAGCTTCCGAAAGCAGGAGCGCTCGTCGCCGGTGACGCCGGGTTCTCCATGTCCAAGTCCCACTCCCGCAGGAGCGGGCGGCGACTCCGCCGTCCACCGCCGGTCGTCGTAGCCAGTCCCAATCTGCAGCGACAACGGAGGGAGAGAGGCGATGGGCTCGGGCGACTTGCGCTTCCTCGTCTGCTCCGTCCAGGCAGCAGCGGCGACAGCGGCGGCGTTAGCCTCCTGCTTCACTGCTACACGATGCGGAGTCGCCGCAGCGGGGATCTGCAGGTGGCCGACGGGCGGATTGCGCACGGAGAGAAACTTCATGATATCAATGCCCTTGTCCCCCGCTAGGTGAACCAACTTATGTATGGCCTCCGTCGTGTCGTTCGTCAGCACCGGCTCTTTGAGGGACGCCATGCTCGGTGTCCCCCACTTGAGCGAGCAAGGCCAAGGCATCCAAGACGGCCCACGGATGAAGAAGAACCTGCCTTTCCACATCGGGTGGGGCATCTTGCCGGTGAAGAGGCGGCAACGGCGCGTGCGGCGACTGCGGCTGCCCGAATCCGGCGGCGACAGAGGGTAGCGGTAGGGCTTGAAGTGGTATCGCCCCCTGGACTCAGCGCAGATGACAAAGAAAGACAGGAACACAGGCAGCATGGGCTGGACGCCGGCGTCCTCGCACAAGAGCACAAACGCGTTCAGGTAGCGCCACGCGTTTGGCATCAGCTGGCTGGGCGCGAGGCCATAGTGCCGAAGAACCGCAGCGTGCAGGTCGTGGAAGGGAAGCCTCATGCCGGCCTCGAACGCGGCGGCGTAGACGCAGATCATGTTGCAGCCCTCCGGCGGCACATCGCAGGCCACCCGATGTTTGGCGTTCAGGAGAGTGTAGTGCTTGGAAATGTGGTACCGGGTCGAGTGTAGTGGTTGGTCAACCACGAACGTCGACTTGGTTGCGCCCGCTTCCGGCCATCTGGTAGTGCTGTCGACGGTGGCCGCGGTGTCTAATAAATCCTCTACCGTTAAGACGGCAACAACGGAAGAGAAGGTAGTGGACGAGGCTGCCATCGGCCGGCGCTGTGTAGAGAACGCGGTTGCTGCGGACGGCCGGCGCGATGGAGGGAGAGGACGCGGTTGCTGTTGGCGGTGGCCGGCGCGGTGGACAGGACGCGACCAGTAGCCAGTAGGAGCGACCAGGGCCGGGATATTATGAACCTGTTTGGTACGGCTCCAAGAGGCTTCGGCTTACACTGTTCACACACTGTAGCGTGTCAGAACCGGAGCCGGAGAAGCCAGAAATTCGAGCCGTGAACAGTAACCGCGCTACAGTGAGAGGCAAAAGGTGGGGGAGAGAAAAACCGCTCTGCTGCAACAGTGACGCTACAGTGTTCGTCGCAGGGTGTCAGCCGGAGCCGGAGCTGCCGAGAGGCCGGCCAAACAAGTCCTAATACTAGTTGGAGGAGGTGTGGGGATACGGGCTGGGGAGAGGAGGCGAAGACCGAAGTAAGGAAGAAAACTATCTGGGTCGAAAAAATTCTCAATCATTTTCTACTTTTACATTTAAAATACAAAAACGAAAGTAGAAACGGATAAGCTGGACACGAAAACAAACATAAACTTATGGAATATCTAGAATTTCGGAAGCGAACCAATTCGAGCGGAATTACGTCGAACACGATCGGTATGCGAAAATTTAATACGAAATACCGACCCACATAGCATAACATTAAACAAGTGCACGACCAAATATATAACAAGTTCACAACTAACAAGTGCATGATCTAGTTCAGGTGCATAGCATTAAATAAGTGCACGACTAAATACATAATAAGATAGATGAGGTTGGGCGTCGTCTATAAAAGAGGGCAGCTAGCCACTAATAGAAAGAACGCAGCTGCGTGGTGAGCAACCTGTAATTGAGGCTGTATAATCTGTGCAGTTGGCCAAATTCGGTTTAAACCGAATTTTGAATTCGGAATATTTCAAATTAAAAGTAGAAAAGTAAAAAATAGTTGAAAAATGTGTAAATCGTTTTCTACTTTTATATTTGAAATACAAAACATCTCAAATACGAAAGCGAAAATGGTAAAGTCGGACAAGAAAATACGGATTCAATCGGATTAAATATAGAAAACGATATGGTTCGGTTTGGGATATTTCTATTCCGTTTTCATCTTATGCCTTGTTTAGATTGCAAATTTTTGCAACCTGGACACTGCAGCATGTTTCGTTTGTATTTGACAAACTTTGTCCGATTATGGACTAACTAGGCTCAAAAGATCCGTCTCGTGATTTACAACTAAACTATGTAATTAGTTATTATTTTTACCTACATTTAATGCTTCGTACATATATCTAAAAATTGATGTGATAGAAAAAAAGTAAAAAAACTTAAAATTTGAAAGTAATATAAACAAGGCCTTAAACCAGAAGTGACCGCTGAGGCGAGTTGTTGGGTGCTGTTGGTGTGGTGACCGCTGTGGAGAGAAGAAGAGGAGTGGAGAAGAAGAAGAAGAAGAAGAGGGAGGACCGCAGCAACCGCACCAGCCTGTCCGTCCCTCCTGCCTTCTACTCTGATCGCTAAACTGCATGGTGTGCAGCTTTTGGCACGGACCGGCGTCTCATAGTGACCCCCTGGTTGGAGTACTACTTTCATCTTCGGCAACCTTTCCTTCCCGAGTAGGGTCACGTTTAGTCCACTCTAAATTCAAACTTTGTCGCTATGTAAAAAAAAAATTCGTCACATTAAATTTACGGTATATATATGGAGTACTAAATATTGATGAAATCAAAAACTAATTGCACAGTTTGGTTGTATTTTGCGAGACGAACATTTTAAGCCTAATTAGTCAACGATTAGACAATTATTACCAAATAAAAACAAAATAATACTGTAGCTACAGCGTATCTCCAGCGTTTTTGGTGGCGCTGATTCGGCGAACTAAACCTGGCCTGGACAATTATCTGCTGTACTAGTGTTGCGTGGTTAATGCATTAAGGTGGGAGAATGGTACTGCTAGAAAAATATAATCTCTCCGTCTAAAAAAAGGCAACTATACATTGTTTCGGTACAATTTTATAACATTACGATGTTTTAATATGTCAAGTCAAGTTTAATAAAATTTATATAAAAAATACTAATATTCATCGTAAGAAATATGTATATTATTATATTCATCGTGAAGCATACTTTTTATAATGTATATCTGATAGCATAAATATTAATATTTTTACCTATATATTTAGTCAAATTTTAGACATTTTAACTGAGAATGCATGTAGAATTGCATTCTTTTTCTCGATGAATATAGTATATGTATATATGTTTGGTGGAACTTGAATTAATTATAATTAAGAGAGCAATGGGTAATGGGCTGGGACATTTTTGTTGGCGTTAATGTAATAGTAATAAAGTGGGAGGATGGTGTATCTGATGATATTGATTTGTTGTTATCAATTTTTGCGCTCTTTTTTCTATAAATCCAATCAAATTTAAAAAGTTTGGCTTACAACTCTAGGAATTGAGTTATTAAGAGTCAGAGGTAGTATGTGGTTTTATCCTCTATTTTGACATGAAATAGTTAAGGTAGCATAATGAAAGAATGTTTAAAGAAAATTTTGTAAATGTTCTAAATCTGAATAAAGTTTAACAAGTTGTACATTCTTAATCAACCATGAGCAGGATCGGTAGGAGCAGTATCATATCTTAATATTTTATAAATAGTTTTTTACCTTTTCTTTGTTCATTTATTTTGCCCTCGACTAATAGAATCTAAAAGAAGGGAAATCTAGATTCAAAAGACCAAGATCAAATCGTAAAGTTAAAAAAAAAACCAATTGCAAATCACAACCGGCCTTCAAAACATGGGTAATACACCTATCTCCCTTTTTTTAGAGATAGACAGTGAAATTGAATATCGATTGCACGATATCTTATGGGGGATTTGTTTCACACTCATCGCCAAGATTTATCTATCTGGTGGTTTGGATACATTGTTTGACAATTTATGTCCCTCAAGAAAATATAAAATACCGATTCCTGGTTGGGCATTGCAGGAGATTTATTTAATGTATTTTTCATTCAAGATTTATTTAATGTATTTGTATTCAATATTTATTTAATGTATTAATCCCTCCATATAACACCTATAAAAGGGACTTTTGGCAGTTGGCACGGCTCCCAGACAAGCTCCTACTTCGGCTTCGTGAAGCTGTATCAAACAGATTAATAACTACTCCCTCCGTTTCTAAATATTAATCGTCACGATTTACGTATCGATAACTTTGACTTGATTTATAAAAATGCGTGCAATATTTCTATCTCCAAATAAATTTATTAAAAAACTAGATTCAAATATCTATCCAATGATATTAATTATGTATCATAAATATTAATATTTTTTAATATATATTTAGTCAAAGTTGTTTCTCGGAAAGTGAAAACAACAGACATTTAGGAACGGAGGGAGTACGTTGTCAAAAAAAATAAATTAATAACTACAAAAAGGTTTCTCCGGTTAAGCCTATGGGATCTAGAACTTTTTTTCTACATGGAACCAGAGTTATCCAGCTGCACTTGAATTTAAATGGTAATTAGTACTTAATTACTTGGCACCTCTAGTTTTATTTAATTTAATTTGCTCATTTTTTTGGTCGTTGTATAAACAGTAAAATTACAAACGGACATCAAACAAATAAATCATATTATTATTTTTACTGATATATTTTATCTATTCGATGAAATAAAGTAGAAGTTTCAGCTTTAACAAAAAAACAAAAAGAAAAGCCCGTTTAGCTGGAGAAGGCAGAGCCGAAACCCTACCACGATTTACACTCCTGTCGTTTAGCTAGTTCTCTAGGGCCTTGTTTAGATGAGTGTTAGGAATTAGAATTTGACACGGTAGCATTTCGTTTGTATTTGATAATTATTGTTCAATCATGACTTAACTAGGCTCAAAAGATTCGTTTCGTAATTTATAATCAAACTGTGTAATTAATTATTTTTTTATCTACATTTAATACTCCATATATATGTCCAAAGATTTAATGTGATGAAGAGAGAGTGAAAAAACTTGGAATCTAAACCAGGCCTAGATCCCTAGTTGGCAGAAAGACCCAAGAATAATTGCCTGTTTGTTTGATTTACGAGTGTTTTTTTTGAACGAACAGTATTTTTTTCTCATAATAAATTAGCCAACAATATTTTTAGTCATGGCTTATCAACCAAGTGAATAGGGCAAGTATTCCCTCCGTCCCGAAACGAATATAATTCTGTGTTTCAAATTTTTAGCGTGTTTGGCTGGTATAGTACCGACTTGTTTTTGCTTGTTTCATCTTATTGTCTCGATCATCCAAAACCATTCAAAAAAACACCGTACATGGTACCAGCCGAACGCGCTTTTTGTCTCGTAAAGAATATAATTATAGGCATGAAGTCAACTTTTTTTAACAGGATCCATCTATTAAAATACTACTACTTTATCTAGGTACGAGAAGAACATTGTGGAATGCATTAATTATTTTTTAGTTCCTACTTATGGAGAGAAAGAGTAAAACTGTTTTGTGAGATTTTACACCAACACTAATCTTATCTTAAAAAACGAGATTTACCATCTTGGGGTGAATGGAGGTAGTAAATGCTAGTAGCAGATATGCCATGCACGCCCAAAGATTGTTCTGTGCTTAAAAAGATTCGATTTAACCCTAGGGCATCGTCTCGTCAGCTGCCGTATGGTAAGCACGCCGCTGATCGAGGTCGCCGGCCCAACTCACCAAGCAGCTGAAGGAGGAGAGCAGCGCAGAGCGTTTGACATGACCTGACCTCCTATCTATCCTATAGTAATGGCGTGCAATAGAGTAGTAGGAGCAGGAGCCAGGAAGCACGAGAAGAGATTCGCCGGTTCTTTTTCAATTAATAAACAGTATTTTTTTCCGCAGCTAAACGAATGTGGCGTTTATACAGGGCGTGATCTTGGTTCACGCTACTACAGTACGAGAGAAGTAGCCAAGGAACGAAGGAAAGAACGCGGAAACCGGCCAGTCTTGCTGCATCGTTGCGTCCCCCAAGG